GCTCCAAGACAAGCCACTTACTCATCGTGGGATCTTATCAATGGTTAGTTCGATTTTTGACCCACTTGGAATGCTGGCTCCAGTCATCCTTCCTGCCAAACAGATCTTACAAGAACTCTGCCATTTAAAGCTTGGATGGGATGAGAGGATTCCTGAAAGTCTCCATCAAAAATGGTCTAACTGGTTAAGAAACATGAATTTGCTGAAAGACTACAAGGTTAAGAGATGCCTCAAACCTGATTGTTTTGGACAACTGGACTCAGCACAACTCCACCATTTTGCTGATGCAAGCGAAAATGGCTATGGCACGGTCTCCTATTTGAGGATGACAAATAAATACCAACAAGTTCACTTAGCCTTTGTTATTGGCAAGGCTAGAGTGGCTCCTCTAAAGCCTGTAACCATCCCAAGGTTGGAGCTCACAGCTGCAACTGTAGCTGTGAGAATGGATCGGATGTTACAAGAGGAGCTTGAAGTACCTCTCGTACCATCAGTCTTTTGGACTGACAGCACATCAGTGCTAAAATATATAAAGAATGAGACTTCTAGATTTAAGACCTTTGTCGCCAATCGAGTCGAAACCATTAGATCTGCTTCCAATGTTTCTCAGTGGAGGTATGTGAACAGCAGCCTGAATTCTGCTGACTGTGCTTCAAGAGGAGTTTCTGTACCCAGCTTCTTAAACCATGTGACTTGGATTTCAGGCCCAGCGTTTCTTCAGCTACCTGAATCTGAATGGCCCAAGACACCAGATTCAGATTTGATTCTCACTCCTGAAGATCCAGAAATTAAAGTGCTTGTATCAAACGTTGCTGTTCTAGAAGAGAGTGGAAATGCTGTTAGTAGGATACTGTTGTGGTATTCTGACTGGTACCGCCTTAAAAGAGCAGTAGCCTGGATTCTTCGTTTCAAAGCTCTACTGGCATCAGCTATTGCAAAGAAAAAGGATATTCTTGGAAATAAAAGGGACAAACAGGAAAAACAAGTTCTCTCTGTGCAAGAACTACAAGAAGCAGAAGATGCAATCATCATGTTCTTGCAGGAAACAAACTTTGCAGAAGAGATGACTGCCTTAAAGAAAGGAAATGCTGTGAAATCTAGCAGCCATCTCCTTAAACTATCACCAATTCTGCAGGAGGGACTAATGAGAGTTGGTGGCAGATTAAGCAAGTCTGCTATGCCATCAGAATCCAAACACCCTGTTATCTTGCCAAAGAACCACCATGTAACACAGCTCATCATTAGATACATTCATGAGAATATTGGACACAATGGAAGAAGTCACACTCTGTCGCGTTTGCGACAAAAGTTTTGGATTCCAGGAGCTACTTCAGCAATTCGAAAGGTGATCGCCAAATGTGTTCCCTGCAAGAGGATGAATGTAAGGAAAGGTGAGCAGATCATGGCTGACTTACCAAAGGAAAGGGTCAGTCTAGATGAACCGCCTTTTACCAACGTGGGTGTAGATTTCTTTGGCCCATTCAACATAAAGCATGGAAGGTCTACTGTCAAACGATATGGAGTTGTTTTTACATGTCTCACTATCAGGGCAGTTCACATAGAGATTGCACATAATCTCAATACTGATTCCTGCATTAATGCAATCCGAAGATTTGTCTCCAGAAGAGGCCCTGTTAAAGTCATGAGGTCAGATAATGGGACCAACCTTGTTAAAGCAGAGCGTGAACTCCGTGAGGCTGTAAAAACTCTAAACAATTCCCAGATTCAAACTGCTGCACTGAAAAAAGGCATCTCTTGGCTGTTTAATCCACCTGCAGGATCTCACCATGGAGGAGTCTGGGAGAGACAAATTCGTTCTATAAGACGAATTCTCAGTGCTCTCCTAAACCAACAAACGTTGGACGACGAAGGACTCGTCACCTTACTCTGCGAGGTGGAGGCTATCATCAATGACAGACCAATCACAAAATCATCAAACGACCCCATGGATTTGGAACCCTTGACACCAAACCATCTCCTACTTCTCAAAACAAACCCTTCCATACCACCTGGAGTGTTCTGCCCAGAAGATTCCTACAGCAGGAGAAGATGGCGTCAAGTTCAGTACATGGCAGAATTATTTTGGAAGAGGTGGATAAAGGAATATTTGCCTGAACTACAACAAAGGAACAAATGGACAAGGAAAACACAAAACTTTGAAAAAGGGGATATTGTCCTGATCATTGACGATACAGCTCCAAGAGGTTCTTCAATGGGGCGAGTAACGGAAACCTTTCCGGATGCCAAGGGATTTGTAAGACAGGTGCAAGTTCGGACCAAGACCAACACTCTCCGTCGACCTATAACAAAGCTTGTTCTTCTCCTGGAGGCTTCATGTGGAGACTGAAGTGTAAACATACACACAATTGACTTGAAGACTTACAGACTTAAAAAAAAAAAAAAGAGACTTTGGCTCCTCTATTTTGTTTTATGTAATTGACATTTGTACCTGCATGCCAATTAGGGGCCGGAATGTTGGAGCCAAATGCTTGATTTATGATTGAATATTTATTTCTAGTTTACTATTTTTTGTCTGGTTTTGGTACGATATATATGAACATGAAATATTTTGGTTTGAAGTATAAGTTGACTGACTTAATTTTGAAATTATGAATTTGTTTAGTTGTGTTTTGCTGCCATTCATAATTTACGTTGTTTCTCGCCTCCGCCCCTTCATTATGGACAGGTGACTGCAGCACCTGGATTATATTGGAGTTGGCTATTGGGGCCGGGTGAGCTTTTGGATTCAGTCAACGCAGCCATACAGTTTTTGACCGCTTCTGATGATTATTGTTGTTTTCTTTGAGTGGCAAAAAAGCAACGAAATGAGCCGAAATGATCTGCCTGTCACGTCATGTTGCGGTAAGAAAATTTAAGTTTGTTTTGATTTTGGAAAATAAAGCGTTTTGAACAAGAGGAAAGAAAGTTTGCTGATTACATGGTCACATTAAACAACATCTAACAGATCTCAAGCGAGTCTAACTTGGATGCTTCTGAACCAAGAGCCAAACGCATCTTTATTGGAAAGATTGCGCTATTAAACAGGAACAAATAATCTAAATATTTTGTTTTTATTTTATTTCTTTAACCAGAAAATTTAATATAGCTTTGAGATCAATTTTGATCAATTTTGTGTTCTTGAACTCAGTTAAATCTTGTTACACTCACATTTTTTCTGCCAACAGCAAGTGGATCAGGGATTTAAGGAAGAGGATTAGGGCCACTGAAAAAATAAAAACAAGTTTACTGATTTTTTTCAATTTTATTTCAGTATGATATGAGAAAAAGGTCAGAATTCTGACTTTAATCTCAGAATTCTGACGTTTTTCTCATAATTCTGACTATAATATCTGAATTCTGACAGCTAACAAACATGTTAGCAGCAAGCCATAGCCATTTCTCTTTTAAAGACTAAACTAGCTCTCTTGTTTTAATCACCTTCTGCTCTTCCATTAAAAAGCATCACCAGGGAACCCCTCGGACAAATAAAAAAAGTTGCCTAATTCCTTCATTTTCCACCAATGTGTTACTGGCCCTCCCAAACAGCTCACATCTTTGTCAGTGAAGCTGACCGCTCCGACATCTCTTCCTCCATAGTGCCCATCTACGTTAAGATCAAGAATTCTGAGATTAAAGACATAATTTTGAGATTAAAGTCAGAATTCTGAAATCAAACTCAGAATTCTACGAAAAAAGTCAGAATTCTGAGATTAAATTCAGAATTCTGAGATCAAAGTCAGAATTCTAAGGAAAAAGGCAAAATTTTGAGATCAAAGTCAGAATTCAAAGAAAAAAGTCCGAATTCTGAGATTAAAGTCAGCATTCTGAGAAAAAAGTCAGAATTCTGAGATTAAAGTCAGAATTCTGAGATGAAAGACAGAATTTTGAGATTAAAGTCAGAATTCTATTTCACCAGAGATAAACTGGCAAGAATGTTTCAGGAAGCCGATCCGACTTGCCCGAGATGCAAACAGGTGCCAGCCAACACATCCCATATGTTTTGGTCCTGCCCCAAACTCAAAGAATTCTGGATTGAAATCTTTAAAACTTTCTCATCTGTCTTCAGGAAAGATATTGAACCGGTCCCTCTGATGGCCATTTTTTGTGTGGCACCGGGGGGGATAGAATTAACGACAGCTCAACAGAAGGCAATGGCATTTTCTTCGCTGTTGGCCAGGAGATTGATTTTATTTAATTGGGTAAAGGCAGCACCACCGACATATAAACGATGGATAGAGGAGGTAATGGCACACCTAAAGCTGGAACATCTTCGATTTACGGCACAGGGTACCATTAAGAGATACTTCCAGATTTGGCAACCTTTTATTTCCTATTTTGAATCCGAGGTTCAATCTGCTTCAGCATAATCAGCATTTTCCCTTTTTTTTTTTTTTTTTTTTTTTTTTATTATGATTGTTATTCATACTAATGTTTTTGGTTTCCAACCCATGGATGTCTGGAACATGGGTTATATGTGCGGGTGTAGTAATTGTCTTGTTGATAGTTTTTTTTTTTTTTTTTTTTTTTTTTTTTTTTTTTTTTTTTTGTGATGTCGTTGTGATGTAATTATGGAGTCTTTTTGTTTTGTTTTGTTTTGTAAGCCCTGGATGGATGAAAAACTAATAAAAACAATTTAATTATTATTATTATTAAAGTCAGAATTCTGAGATGAAAGTCAGAATTCTGAGACTAAAGTCAAAATTTGTGAGAGAAAAAAAGTCTGAATTCTGACTTTTTTCTCATATTATACTGAAATGACATATAAAAATAACTTTCTTTTATTTTTTCAGTGGCCCTTATCCTCTTCCGTAGGGATTGATCCATTTGATAATTGTCAAGAGTAAAATTTCAAATTTAATTACTGACATGATTACAGTAATTCATTGTGAATACATAGTCTGCGTATGCTGGATAAACTAAATCAAAGTGGTGAAAGAACACAGCCTTGAGGATTTCTTTTTTAGGGTAAAAGAAATTCACCCTGACGCTTTTCTGACGCAATCACGCTGCGCCTCTCCCGGAAGTATCGCTGAGAGCCAAAATGGCGCAGAAACGCCAGTTGTTGGTTTTGGATTTGTTTCGGGACATTAACGTAACCCGTTTACACCAAGAACCTTGATCGGCCCGCTGGGACGTGACCGGGGAGATCCCAGCCAAACCAGCCGCCCACCCGGAGGCGCGTGCAGGGCGTGAGTGTCGTGACTCCTCGGTTTGAGGCGCGCAGAGCTCTGCAGCTAGCATGCTGCTAACGTGTTGAGTCACTGTGATCCACCGGAAATATACGGTGATTTAACAGGGAACCTATTAGGAATTAGCTCCCAACCGACCTACGGAACCTTTATTTCTGTTTGAGCGCAACGAACCGGTTCGGTTCACCAGCTGAGTGTGTGCAAATGTTTAAAGACGCTGTTTGCTTGTAGGCTGCTTCTGGTTCCGGTTCTGGTTTGTTTTCCTCTGGTCAGTTGATTTCCACCTGATCAAACACATGTTCTTTATTTGTCAAAAATGGTTGTAGGAATTTAATAAGCGCAGAACCTAACGGCCTCCGTAGTTTCCAGTAAGGACATGGCTCGAAACGCTTGATTTGTATAAACGGATTTGGTTTATTGTGTTTATATAATAACCGGTTCCCAGCCACGTTTTTATAACCCAGATCGCTACTGGTTAGGCCCTGCTGGACCATGTTTATCCAGTTAATGATCTGGATCTGTTACCATGGCAGCAGCCTCCAGTACCGTTATAAAGCAGCTCATACAAGAAAGGTGGGTGTGGACAGAGAGAACACCCAGACTGAGACTTCTGTGAGAGGGAGATGGACTAATACAGAACCAGGGGCTAAGGTTATAGTGTTTCATTAGAAGGGTTCTGTACTTTTAGCAGATCATACAATCCATCATCCTCTCTGCAGGGATCAATACATATTTATTTAGAAAAAGGAAAGTGAAACCAGCTTTGAAGCATCCCTCAGAAGAACAAAATCTAATTTACGGTGATGGAATAGGATAGGATTAGACCAGACAGGGCAGTGTTTAAAATGAAATCAGCTGCAGCATAAGCCTGGAGTTCTGCTGCCATTTTAGTACCATGTTCTGTTACACAGCGTTTTTTCAAGACAACAAAACAGATTAAAATGATCTTCTCAGATGCATCTGATTTGTTTTAGTTCTGCTCGCATCTGCAGGTTTAAGTGGATTATCTGGTCTTAGGTTTCTGTTCCGATGCTCAGATTTGTCTCAAGAGAGCCTTGATTTTTCTGTCCACTCCCACCGCTGTCTTCTTGGCGGAGCTCATCCTCCTGGCTGTCCTCGTGCGTCTTTCTTTCTGACCGATTGGTGTGTTCCAGGTGGTGATGGCGGAGCGGAGGGCCGAATGCACCTGGAAGAGACACATCTTGGAGCAACTGAAGCTTAGAGACAGAGTTCAGAGACACACTTTCGAGGAGATCGTCCACCAGTGTGAGTTGGGACACTCTGTGGACGCGCTGTTGAGGCTCTGATAGAGGTAGTAATCGGAGCTCTTTGTGTTTCAGACAATCGCCTTTTGGAAAAATCCGACCTGCAGACTGTCCTCACAGAAAGATACCAGACGGACAAATATGACGTCCAGAGAGGTCATGAGGCCAGGTGAGACATCCTGGGGCTGAGTCTTAGCTTGGTCAGTGCAACCTGTCTTCTTAACGCCATACCTGTTTATCCATCTCCCTCTGTCTCAGCTCCGTGGACTCATCCCGCAGCGACACCCTGCAGCAGGAGATGGCTCAGATGAGGATCCGCCATCAGGAGGAGCTGACAGAGCTGCACAAGAAACGAGGGGAGGTGAGTACAGATTGACTGATACATTTTTCTCCCCAATTATTTTTAACATCAGTCTAACTGATGCTGCCAATTTTTTAGAGCTGATTTTGCTTGTTTTCCTCCAGTTAATGGTAAAAATTAGACAAGAATAATAGATATTACAGAAGAAACATTTAGCAATGGCAAACAGAGTAGCGACGCACATTTGAATGTCTTCTAAAGACATTGCTGCTAAATTCACTAATGAACCAATAAACGCTGATTCTGATACAAGGAGGGAAATAAAGCACATCTGTTGGTCTCCTAGAGATGAGTAACCAAACCATCATAGGAAGTCTTGTTCCGTGTGAAAAGCAGCACGTTTTCCGCTTTATCAGATTTTCTCTTGGTTCTACCCCCCCTCAGTCGACTGCAGTGGTTTCAGTTTACTCCATGTTTGACTTAAAGGTGAAGCAATCCCTGGAAACTAAGATGTTTCGAGAAATATCGTCATTCTGATTCATGTAACGAGTAGGTATTAAATGCAATTCCTCTAAATTCTGCACGCTGCATCCCAGTATGAAAAAGTGACTGCTGTTTATAGATTATTATAAATATTTAAAAAAATAAAAAACTTAAGATATTAAAATAATTCAAGCTTAACCATGAAGCTACAAACTGAGCCATGGTTCATATTGATACCGCTTAGAGCAGGCGAAACCAATTAAAAATCAGCAGGGTCCAAATAAAGAAAATCAACAACCAGTAAAGGTTGTTGATTTTCTTTATTTATGCATCTAGCGGTCTTTTCCAACCATAAAAACACAATCTTTTCAATATGGTTAAACATAAATACTGCTCTCCGCATCATAGTCGGCCATGGTTGTTGTTTTTCTTGCCGCTTCTTCATAGCAAGACCCAGAATAGTGACTGTCGGGTAATAATGGCGTTCAGGGTCGGATGAATCCGACCTGGCCTTTCAGACACAGGTCGCATTTGAAAAGATCAGATTCGTATCAGATTCAGGACCTCATTGCCAAGTGGCCTGTGTTGGATTGGGAAAAATCTGATCTGTGTTGTTCAGTCAGCCATGAAAATTAGATTCAGATCGCATATGGGCCACAAAAATATCGGCTTTGGTTCACTTCAGGCTGCAGTGTGAATGTAGCCAAAATGTGCTGGGTTATCTTAGAGCACGCCATTTCACTTTTCTGTCACCAGTTCTTCCAGCAGTCGACACTTTCACTGCTTTCACGTGCAGCCTTGCCATGGATGCTCCGAAGGGCTTTACCTTATTAACAGCAGAAGCGGCGCAAGTGGAATTAGACACTGTCGTCGGACATCATGCTGTAATTTATAAATGCTTTAAACCTGGTTCAGATGGAGACCACCTGTGGTTGATTTGGTTGATTGGATCTAATTAGGAAAGGAACGCACCTGCTGATATAAGGTTGACAGTACAGGTCAGAGGGCAAACATTAAGCATGAAGTCAAAGGAATGGTCTGCAGACCTCAGGATGGGATTGTTTTCATGGACCAGCCTGGGGCTGCTTTGATTGGTTGGAACTTTCCTGGAAGTTCTAACCATCTTTAGCGAAAAAGTCCTGTGCTCCTGGAGCTCAGGGGAAAAGGGGCCCAATCAGAGTGACGTTCTGCAAAGAAGAATGATAAAACAACTTAAAAGGTGTGGTGTCATATTTAAAGACTTGAGGCTGGAATGGCTTCCAATAATGCATCAACAAAATGTTCAAAGGTTTGAATCACTATAGTCATTGTAATTTATTGTTCTATTTGTAATAAAGCTGCAACAACGTTTGTCCTTTTAAGTTCAGCTCTGCAGCTGTAGTTGGATCCCTTGTTTGTCTGCTTCCATAAACCCTCATGGTGCTAAATTGGATCCCTGATTGGAGATCTATATGTTATTGTTTTTTTGAGACGAGGTTCTTTAACACACTCTCTGCTCTCCCTCTGCAGCTCGCTCAGACTGTGATAGAGCTCAACAACCTGATCCAGCAGAAGGACCGAGAGATCCAGAACAACGAGGCCAGGTGAGTGACCACGCCCACACACCCCTGATCAGAGCCCGATCAGCTGCAGCTGATGAGCAATGTCACCTCTTAGGATGTTGGAGTGTCAGCAGCAGATCACCAGCTTGGAGGGAGACTGCCAGGAGCTGAGGAACAGCCTGCAGGTACGTCGGCAGCTGCAGCCACTCTGCGCTTCATTTGAAACAAACAGCAGGATCAATTCAGGGGAACAAAGGTTCAGTCGTTTTTCTCCAGCCTCTGTTGGAATGTTAGTTGGTCTGATCAGTGGTAACTTCTAGAAGGGAGCTCATGATTGCTGCATTAGTGACTGATGTCCCTGCCTGAGGTGGTAAAGTACCCAAACATTGTAGTCAAGTAATAGTAACTCTAATTTGTCATTAGTAAAAAGATATTTGAGGTATTTTGCAAGAACATATTGCAGTACTAAGTAACTCATCAGAGCATCTGATACTTAAAATTATGGAACAGGGAACAAAATGCTAGTGTGAATTCCGGTATTTTAAAAACCATGATAAATGCTCAGTGGGGCAGTGGATAGCACTGCTGCCTTGGAGCAAGTCGATGGTTCGAATCCCGGCCCAGGGTCTTTCTGCATGGAGTTTGCATGTTCTCCCTGTGCATGCGTGGGTTCTCTCCGGGTACACAGTCCAAAAGCATGACTGTTAGGTTAATTGGCACCAGCATCCCTCGCGACCCCAGCAGGAATTAAGCTTCACGGAAAATGGATGCATAGTAAAATTAAAACGATGTAATTAGAAATGAACTATTCTAGGCAGAAAAAAAACACTTTTCTAACCAATTTTTGTCTAAAATTCCTTGATCACCAAATGTAACACCAGGTTCCTGTAAGCTTTTATACAAAGAAATAATTTTTACATAAACATTGTCTGCATGCTGGTTTTATCTTAAGTCTAGATGTGAGGTTACACTCAATGGATGCAGAAGCCAAATATTGTAACAATATTTAAGTTATCATTAAAGTAAAATATATGGTGCAGTAAAACTACTCCTTAAACAAAATTTCTCTTAAATTCTTAAGTAACCTCAAGTAAATGTAACCAAATACCTTAATCTCCAGCTCTGGTCCCAGATTAAAGATGGATTAGCGTATCTCAAGCGAAGCTGTACTTATATCATGTGTTGCTGCTAAAGTTGAATCCTGAAATATTAACATAAACTTGGTGTTGAGTTCGGGCTTATCAGCAGTTTTTTGCTCAGTCATGTTTTTGGAACCGTTTTTAGGTTGTGTGTTAGCAGACGGGAGGAGGGGATGCTCTCCACAGCAGGGAAATAATTAGGATTCTACTGAAGTTAGAATTGAACCTCTTCTGTAGAAAACCAAGGGGAGGGAACTAGATGAGGGTGAAGCTTTAGCCTCAGAAGCTGTGAGCATGTTAAGGAAGTAGTTTATCTAAAGCAGTCTTTCTGTTGGCGAAGCCCCGCCCACTGGAAGGTCAATGATGAACAGTAAAAGGTCTGATTCCCATAATCCTTTATTGCCTCCGGCTCCCAGCGGCCTGCTCTCTGCTCCCATCATGCTCCAGTCATGCAGTCATGGGCTCAGTAGCTGCTGACACACAGGATGTGACATCATTCACGATGTGACATCACTGAGAGGTTGACATGAGAACCTGCAGCCTCTCTGTGATGCTGATCCAACATAACCAATCAGAATAGAGCATCTGGAGGAGGAAGGAAGGAAAGAAGGGAGCTGATCTCAAGTTTTCAAGCTGAGACCTTCATCGTTCTTGGAGACATGCGCTGATCTTTTGATTTTACTGCCCTACCATGTGACTTTGATAACCGCCACTTTCCTGCAGGAACTGGAGCAGGCCAATCAGACACTGAAGGACGAGTACGATGCCCTGCAGATCACCTTCTCCGCCCTGGAGGAGAAACTGAGGAAGACCACAGAGGACAACCAGGAGCTGGTGTCCCGCTGGATGGCGGAGAAAGCGCTGGAGGCCAACAAGCTCAATGCTGAGAACGAGAAGGACACCAGGTGAGGTGGGGGTTACTGAAAGTCGTAGAAAAGTCATATTTATATTTCAAACCATTCTGGCTTAAAATTGTATATAAATGTACTCTTTATCAGACTGGATTGTCCCAAAAGTTAGATTATAAGGCAGGATTTTATAAAAATAGAAATGTTCAGTTTTTTTTTTTTTTTCGTTATCTTATGCAGGCCAGTTAGTTATATGTCGGCTTGAACACCTAAATTCGGCCAATCATATATCAATTGTCATCTGTCAATCAAATCTTTTCAGTCTAACCGCTAATATACGCAACGGTTGAAATAAGAAATGAGATTCATGTATTTTCCCATTGAGTTCCGTCCCAGTGTTCACGGGGACGGACGTCTGTCTTCAGCAGGCCTAGAGCTAACAGAACTGGCAGCGTTGCGAGGCAAGGGCTCAAACATGTACGGCTGGTAGCCTTCTACACCAAACCAAGATTCTGCCGCCATCGCATCCTCTTTCAAAACAACTTCGTCCTCCTCTGAATAAAAAATGTATGACAGAGGAGACTCGTCCATGACCTCCGACACAAAACTCTCCTCCTCTTGCATGTTTCTGCTGTCCATAGCGTTCCTTGACAGTGTTGTTTCTAGGTCAACAATTTAGTGCTACTTGGTCGCAATGGAATTTCCCATTGGGAACCTACTAGCACTAAGTTGCTAACTGGTTAGCAAGATGCTTCAGACAAACCGGCCACAACTAAACATGCTTGCGAATCTTCTGCCACAACAATCCCGCCCCCTTGATAAACGACCAATCAGATTCTTTATTCACTCCTGTAAAGTCGGGCACCACTCGGGAGAATTCGGAAATGCAATGGTTGGAGCAGCCGCTTTCCTACGACTCTAAAAAGAAAGGGGTGGGGCTTCTGAACTCTGACGTGATTGGCTGCTGTTTGTGTTTCAGGCGCAGACAGGCCAAATTGCAGAAGGATCTGGCAGACGCTGCCAAGGAGCCGCTGCCCATCGAACAGTCAGTAACGTAATGACCCAGGTTCTGATCACAGGCCCTGTGCTGTTGATGAACCCCAGTATGTGTCTCCCTCAGGGACGACGACATTGATGTGCTGCCTGAGGAAGGAGGAAAGGGAGGGGACACGTCCCCAAACAGACCAATCAGCAGAACGCCCAGGTAAGCCCGAGTCTACAGGAGAATCACAGCAGAAGACACGAGGAAGAAAAAACAAGGATTGTTCCTGACATGTCAGCTGGTTGACATCAGTTTGTCTTACTTTAGCAGGAAGACGCTCCAGCAGCCTCCTGGCGGGCTGCTCGACTCCATCTCTAACATGTTTGGGTACGTACCTCAGGAGGCTCGTTCTGTCAGCTGATATTTATTATTCTTCATGGCTGAATTGAACCGTCTCTGCTGATGGTTTTCCTGATCTACTGTCCTCCCTCCTCCTGCTTCCTCAGCAGGCGTAGGTCGACTAACTCTTTCAGCACGTCTCCAGAAAGTACAGAGACGCCGTCGGGGGTGTGTGCAGAGGTCCGGGTGCCGTCCACAGCCCTGCATGTCTTTGTGAGTATCTGATGCTAGTCAGATGGAAGAAATGAATCGCTAGCACGTGTTAGCAGGGTACCTGGATCACAGAAGGTTCTGGCTCTGATCCTGGTGTTGAAGTGTGCTGCGTTGCTTTTCCTCAAGGTTGACTTGAGCAATCTCTGCAGATTCTGTGATACCACCTGATCTGTGAAATGTTGGTTTCTGAGACCCTTCAGTAGATCCACCAGGCTTGGTTCAGTCTACATGCCTGATGCCCTTTAGCAAGGCACTATATTTCAAAAACGGGGGTCGCATTTTTTTTGTCTTTTTTTGCCATTTTAACATTCCTGGTGTGCCACAAAGCTATGTGCATGAGCCCATCCTGTTCATCAGTTCTGAGGAAACGTTTTGGAACCCTGCTTCACTCCTCAGGGTTCTTTGTCCTTGGGTTTAGGAGTCTGGGTGTTATTTTGAGATCTCGTATTTCTACTCCTACATTCGATTTTCTAATCCTGAGTTAAAATCTGTAAACATTTCCTCTCCCTTGCAGCGAGCATTGCCACCATCCAGGCCAGTCTCACTGTAAATTATGTCTTAAAGGCAGCAGATGTTGCTCTACAAACTCTGAACTCCTTTTGTGATGATGCTGTCAGACTTGTTCCTGACCAGAGGATGATTGATCCTTTTCAAAAAACCATTTTTCTATCAAACCATAAACCATGTTCCCATCCGGCTGTGGTGCCTATTGCCTTAGAAGCTGATGTCAACATCAGACTTTAACTAATCATATTTCATCGCTTCCTGAAGGCCAGCAGCATTTGGACACAGTCACCAGAGGCGTAGCCAGAAAATTTTTATAAGGGTGGCCAGGCAATAACCAATGTACACTGAGGGGTGGCCGAAAGCGGATCGGTACCAGATCCTCAGAGTTAATCTACTCTGTTCCAACAGGAAAATTAACGAGACAAACTATACTTTCCTACAGCCTTTGCTAACAAATAGACGCATATATTTAAACACCATAATTTCTAGATAAAAGGTATAAAACTCTTTCAGTTTTGGGTTCTGGGTGTAAATCTTTTCTATTGTCATTACTTACCTGCATGTATCAATAAACACTCTGCATAAAATTGATATTTACAAGCACTAATATCTACATAAATGGATTATTTGATAAGTTTTTATTAAAATCATTTATCTATGATTTCACTGAAGACTCCTAGATCATTTTCTCTTTACTCCATATAACACAAAATCTATGTCTGAAAAGAGCATGACTTCTGTACATATCTTTGATATTAATGTGTATAATTAACCCAACAAATGTAAACGTTTTGAATATTCCACTTGAGAGTATTACTGCTGCCACCATCTGTATTAGAGGGAGAAAAATGGTGTGGGTGGCCAATGATTGCCTAAGGTTGGCCATGGCCACCCCTGGCCCCCCCCATCTAGTTCCGCCCCTGACAGTCACATGATCAGTTCCATGTTTTAAGGCTGAAGTTGGTAAAAAAACCAAACCCGTCTGTTTCTGTTCCCACAGGAAGCCCACGACGGAGAGGTGAACACCGTCAGGTTCAGCCCTGGCTCTCGTCTCCTAGCAACAGGAGGGATGGACCGCAGGGTGAAGCTATGGGAGGTCGTCTCAGGTGAGCCTCGAAAAGTAACGCCTCGACACAAAGCCCGCCCACCAGCGGAAGGTCAATGATGAACAGTAAAAGGTCTGATTCCCACAATCCTTTGCTGCCTCCGGCTCCCAGCGGCCTGCTCTCTGCTCCCATCATGCTCCAGTCATGCAGTCATGGGCTCAGCAGCTGCTGACACACAGGATGTGACATCATTCATGATGTGACATCACTGAGAGGTTGACATGAGAACCTGCAGCCTCTCTGTGATGCTGATCCAACATAACCAATCAGAATGGAGCATCTGGAGGAGGAAGGAAGGAAAGAAGGGAGCTGATCTCAAGTTTTCAAGCTGAGACCTTCATTACCATATTACTCAGATTACAGTAATCAGATTACAGAGCGAGCGGACAGTTAGAGTGAACAGATTAACTTAACAGTTAGGGCTTGCCAGTCCAGCCTGTCTTGCTCCCCACAGCAGGAATTGGGGCCCCTGGGGGCCACAGGAGTCAAACCACTGACTATATTCATCTAGGATTGATGCAAGAATAAGTATTTGGTGGGTTTGTGAAAATTACAGAACCAGATGATGGCGTTGGCTGACGGATGACCGTCCAATCAAAACGCAGCGTTACTCTGCACTTCCTGTGTGTTTTCAGGTCGCTGTGAGGCTAAAGGAGCTCTGACCGGCAGCAACGCAGGAATCACCAGCATCGAGTTCGACAGTGCTGTAAGCTATAGGTCCTGCTAGTTCTGGTTGCCTTGGTTACCTGTGTTTTTGTTAAAGTGCATTTGTATCTCAGGGCTCCTACCTGCTCGCTGCATCCAATGACTTTGCCAGTCGAATCTGGACCGTGGACGACTACAGACTGAGGGTGAGTCGGCAGCAGCTTCAGGGCGACGCTCCTGATTGGCTTAAATCACGAGGCTAGTGAACATTGCTTGCTGTGATCCAGTGTTGCTCCTGACTGTTTACCTTTAGGCAGACATCAGAGCAGAATGGCAGAATGATTTGATATTTAAATATGATTTCCCTACGACTTTAACAAATGCAGTTAATATGTGAGAAGGTATGAATTAATATAAAGAACTGAAGAACAGCTAAAATTATCCTGTACCCAAAGCTTCCCTTGAAAATAGCTGTATGATGTTTAGTCACAAGACATGGAAAGCTGTTTAATTAAACAGGAACTCTTAAAGTAAAATCAATTTAATCTTTTACGGTGGAGCAGTGAATGTGTTCGCCAACAGTGCTTAGTCATATCTAGAAATCCATAAATGTATGAATAGATTTTACTTTATTTTACTTTAAATTTGAAATATAACCCAAATATGCCCTCTCTCCCATACCTGCAGATCTTTAGTTTTTCTAAAATCTGTCTGGATTTGTGACCAGAAATAGATGAAGTGAATTACTCTACAGATGTATGTTGTAGCTTTTCTGTCTACAAAACTCCTTTTGTAATATACAGGTGCTGGTCATAAAATTAGAATATCATGAAAAAGTAGATTGATTTCAGTAATTCCATTTAAAAAGTGAAACTTGTATATTATATTCATACATTACATACAAACTCATATATTTCAGATGTTTATTTTGTTTAATTTTGATGATTACAAATGACAACAAATGAAAATCTCAAATTCATCATATCAGAAAATTAGAATATTGTGAAAAGGTTCAAAATTGATGGCCCCTGGTGCCACACTCTAATCAGCTAATTAACTCAAACCACCTGCAAAAGCCTTTAAATGGTCTTTCAGTCTAGTTCTATAGGCTACACAATCATGGGGAAGACTGCTGACTTGACAGTTGTCCAAAAGACGACCATCGACACCTTGCACAAGGAGGGCAAGACACAAAAGGTCATCGCTAAACAGGCTGGCTGTTCACAGAGCTCAGTGTCCAAGCACATTAATAGAGAGGCGAAGGGAAGGAAAAGATGTGGTCGAAAAAAGTGTACAAGCAAGAGAGATAACCGCACCCTGGAGAGGATTGTGAAACAAAACCCATTCAAAAATGTGGGGGAGATTCACAAAGAGTGGACTGCAGCTGGAGTGAGTGCTTCAAGAACCACCACACACAGACGTATGAAAGACATGGGTTTCTGCTGTCGCATTCCTTGTGTCAAGCCACTCTTGAACCACAGACAGCGTCAGAAGCGTCTTGCCTGGGCTACAGAGAAACAGGACTGGACTGCTGGTGAGTGGTCCAAAGTCATGTTCTCTGATGAAAGTAAATTTTGCATTTCCTTTGGAAACCAAGTCTGGAGGAAAAGAAGAGAGGCACTTCATCCATGTTGCTTGAAGTCCAGTGTAAAGTTTCCACAGTCAGTGATGGTTTGGGGTGCCATGTCATCTGCTGGTGTTGGTCCATTGTGTTTTCTGAGGTCCAGGGTCAACGCAGCCACATACCAGGAAGTTTTAGAGCACTTCATGCTTCCTGCAGCTGACCAACTTTTTGGAGATGCAGATTTCATTTTCCAACAGGACTTGGCACCTGCACACAGTGCCAAAGCTACCAGTACCTGGTTGAAGGACCATGGTATCCCTGTTCTTAATTGGCCAGCAAACTCTCCTGACCTTAACCCCATAGAAAATCTATGGGGTATTGTGAAGAAGAAGATGCAATACACCAGACCCAAAAATTCAGAAGAGCTAAAAGCCACTATTAGAGCAACCTGGGCTATCATAACACCTGAGCAGTGCCACAGACTGATCGACTCCATGCCACGCCGCATTGCTGCAGTAATACAGGCCAAAGGAGGCCCAACTAAATACTGAGTGCTGTACATGCTCATACTTTTCATGTTCATACTTTTCAGTTGGCCAACATTTCTATAAATCCTTTGTTTTTATTGGTCTTCAGTAATATTCTAATTTTCTGATATGATGAATTTGAGATTTTCATTTGTTGTCATTTGTAATCATCAAAATTAAACAAAATAAACATCTGAAATATATGAGTTTGTATGTAATGTATGAATATAATATACAAGTTTCACTTTTTAAATGGAATTACTGAAATCAATCTACTTTTTCATGATATTCTAATTTTATGACCAGCACCTGTAAAAGGACTCCCTGAGTGCTTCATCCCTAGCATGGATTCCAACCTCATACAGCAGCTAGGAAAGGCCTCCTCTCTGCCAAAGCAGACGGCTGAAACTTTGCAGAAATGGTCATTGATCTGATGGGATTTTAAGCTGTATGGTAGCAGTTCATCAACCTTCATGGTTTTCCTTTCACATCGAAATGAAGTGCAGCTCAAAAAACTTGTCATTGCTGCATAATTTCCCCAATCTGATTTAAATATCGGCTTAATCAGAAGAATCTGTTTCCATGGACACTAAATGAAATGAACATTTACCAAACATTTAGTCAGATGAAATCTCTGCACACAGTAGAGGTTGTTTTCCTGTACATGGACAGCAATCGGAATGGCAAACGGCAAAAATAAATCTGTTGCGGAATTTGGATTTCTCCTATTTCAGATATTTATCCTATTTACTCACCATAAACGTTTTCACTCACTGTCTCACCTGCAAGGCCACACAATCCTCCTGTGTGAGGCTGTTTGTAGACCAGACAGCTTTTTCCCAAAACGAAAACAAAGCCAGATTAAGGATTTAACTTAAGGATTATTCATTACCTGTTACAGTTTAACCAAAGTGTCGGTCATTTGTTTTGACTGTGACTACATTCCATTATTGTAAGTAAAGGAAACATACTTTGCCCAGGCAGAACAGGGCTGATTACAGAGCAGCAAGGACTGTATGGTGAACTGTTCTCTCTTTGCAAAGATATGAAAATAAAGTGCCGACTGAGTGAAATTCATAAATCTCCGTTTATTTAACTGGGCTGAATAGTTGAATACTTTTTTCCCACTACAGGAATAAAATTCCTTTCCAATTGGATCAGGGAATTCAGTCTTATGTTTATGCGAAACATTTTTAAACTTATCTGCCTTCAATCCTTTTATTTGTGTCCATATAGCTTGTGTTGAACTCAGATCTATAAATCTGTAGTAACCTCTTAACACCCCCCACATTCTGGAAAATTCTCACCTATTTTGCAGACATGAGTGAAGTTGACCCCCCCCCCACACACACACACCTTCTTCAAATTAGACCAAATTAGTGTCAAACGTTTGTGCCGCTATCATTTTAAAGATATAAAGAAATAATTCTAGACGTCATCAAAGGTCAACCAGCCCCCCCACCTTCTTCAAATCAGAAGAATGGCTTTGAAGATATTAATGAAAATGTAAAGGTCAAAAGGTCAAACCCCCCCCCCCCACCTTCTTCAAATTAGACAGAATTAGCGGCACAAACTACTACTAATTTTGTCTGATTTGAAGAAGGTGGGGGGCCAACTTCACTCAGGTATTTTGCATTGCCAAATGGAAAAGCAAAGAACTTACGAACCGTGATAAATTTTTTGAAAGCTAACGGCTTCTAGTTTGTCAATATATAAATGAAAATTGGGTGAATAAAACCAGGGTTCCCGCGGGTCCTTAAAAAGTCTTAAAAGGCATTGAATTCTTCAAAATAAAACTTAATTGGTATTAAAGTGTCTTAAATCAGTCTTTCGTAGCTCTTAATTTTTAAAACATCATAAATAGGATTATTTTTATTACGATTTATTTTTGTAATCTAAATAAAACATTAAAATTAACTTTTAACCATTAACTTTTTGTCTGGAAAATATGAGCAAGTGTAAATGTAACAAAAATTTTCTATCCAGCCAAGAGTTTTCTCCATGGCTAAAACCAGGGAACATACATGAGGCTCAGTGGATTTTGTGCAAGAAGTCATTCAAGCTCGGAACAATGGGAATTAAGGCAGTGGAGTCGCACAAAGCGCCAAAATGGAGTTACCGAGAAACAGCCGGTATTTCTCAGTTTAGTTCCAGCCTTGTCTCTGCAACGCCTCCACTTATCACCAAATCAAACATACTAAGAAAACGATACAAAGAAAAATAGCTGCAAAAAAGACTTAGCACTGGTTATGTTGTGGCTTTAAAACCGATTTGTTTTGTTCCCTGCTAAAACAAAGTTTGTGAATTCAGTGAAATAATAGTTAAAATATATCTGTCATTTGTGTGTTTTTAGCTTTCTTCCTGTATGAGAAGCTTTTCAAAATTTGAAACATTAGTGCAGTGGTTTAGTTAAATTAAACCTTTGGGTTAAGTTGTCGCAAACAGGTTTTTCTTGTGAATTTGGTCTTAAATTTTTTATTTCAAGTGGCATTAAAAAGTCTTAAAGTCTTCAATTTAAGTTGCCTTATGCTGTAGAAACCCTGAAAACACAGCCCAAGCTGCATCCATTCAAACATGACTCAGTGTTTTTTTTTTTTTTTTTTTTTTTTTTTTTTTTTTTTTATAGGTCTTTTTTTGAAGAGCAGTTATAAAGACATGCTTACTTGTGGCTGCTTTGTCATGGTACATTTTGACATGCTGCTATATCAGTGTTAATTGTGCTTTGGTGCTCGCTATGTCCATAATAACTTGGTGGTTGAATTGTGGAAAATCTACGCTTTCCGACTATGTCTAACATGTCTATATTGGTAAACATTTTACTTGTGTGATTTTCATGCATTCTAAGTTAAACGCTATAAAATGGATCACGGGCCCGGTGGGTTTTGAGAGGTTAAAAAAAATGCATCCTATCACATGGAGGGTTATGAACATTCGCTCTCCATGCAAACCGTTTGATGCCTTTCTTGTCTCTGACTGTAGTGTAAATGGGACTCAGGATAACTTCTAGAAATCCTGCTACCAAACAGCTGTTTCATGGAATAACTTGTGGGATTAATTAGTCTCTGGATCCCAGTTGTTAGGATTTCTGAAACTGGAAATCCCTTGTAGGCAGGGATTTACCTCTAAACTTGATCCCACTTCCTGAACAGGCCCAGGTGTTTGTTCAGCAGAGTAATCTGACCCTGTCCCTCCTGTTCCTCAGCACACCTTAACGGGTCACAGCGGGAAGGTGTTGTCAGCCCGCTTCCTTTTGGACAACGCTCGCATCGTGTCTGGGAGCTATGACCGCACGCTCAAACTGTGGGACCTTCGCAGCAAAGTCTGTACGTGATTGGCCAGCTGCTGCCTCTTTCTGTAAACCCGCCTCCACCTGTTTTGCTCAGTTGTCTCCTCTGAACTCACCTGGTGCAGGCATGAAGACGGTCTTCGCCGGCTCCAGCTGTAATGACATCGTGTGCACGGAGCAGTGTGTCATGAGTGGCCACTTTGACAAGAAAGTCCGATTTTGGGACATCAGGTAGGTTCTGATCTGATTGGTTGGTTGATTCAGCCGTTAGTGCGTTTGGGTTCATCGTGCCTCCTGTTTGCTTCCATCGGGCCATCAGGGCGGAGAGCATCGTGCGAGAGATGGAGCTGATGGGTCGGGTCACGTCTCTGGACCTGAACCACGACCGCAGCGAGCTGCTGACCTGTTCTAGAGACGACCTGCTGAAGATCATCGACCTGCGCAGCAACGCCGTACGGCAGACGTTCAGGTGAGGTTCAGCGGCCTTCATCACTGCTGTTATCATAGTCATTGCCGCCTCTGACCTAGACTGTGTGTTTAGTGCTCAGGGCTTCAAGTGTGGAGCCGATTGGACCAGAGTCACCTTCAGGTGAGCTCCCCTCGGTGAAAAATCAGTTCTGGTTCCGATGCAGAAACTAACAGTTTTTCTTTCCTCTCAGCCCTGACGGCAGCTATGTGGCCGGAGGGTCAGCCGATGGCGCCCTGTACATCTGGAACGTCCTGACGGGGAAACTAGACCGGACTCTGGACAGAAACCACAGGTAGAAACGAGACGGTTCTGTTGGAAAATAACTTTTGACCTGCTGTCGTTGCTGATGCTGTCGTTGTCCTACAGCACCGCCGTCAACTGCGTGTCATGGTCGCCATCGGGGACGTACGTGGCCAGCGTGGAGAAGGGCAGCAGAGCCATCCTGTGGTCAGACATGTGATTGGCTGGAGCTCAGGGGGTGGAGCCATCATGGTCTGGTTCTGGTGGACTCGTCTTCGTCGCTGTATGTGACGAAGCCAATGAGGAGCTTTTAATGTTCAGTCGTTTTAACGGTGACAGCGCTCCCCCTGCTGGTTAACGGTTGTATGGACGGCAAACAGCTGAGTGTGTGATGCAGCCTGAGGAAGAGAAGTCCTCCCTTTAAAAGATGAAGAATAAAGAGTCAGAGCGAACTTTGTTCCGTATGAACTGAGGCACACACAGCTGCTGAAGTGCCTCTGAGCTATCCCAGAGTGATGCTGGGAAAGCCGCTGGATCGTAACCATGGAAACTGCCTGAGGTTTTAGATCCATAAACACTAATCGGTGTGTTTTGCTTCTTCCCGTTTTTGTTCATGTTTTCGTTTCACTGCTCCTCCCACAACGCGGAGACATTAAACCAAAAAACTCTGAAAACGTCTGTCTGATGCTTCGTCCTGTTTACAAAACGCAGTGTTTTAACAATTACAGTGGGATGTAGATGAAGGCAGAGATGTTCTGAGTCTCTTTTCCAAACTGGAGGTTCTCTTTAAAGTCTTAGGGAAGTCGTATTAAATTTCTAATCATTCTGGCTTAAACATGTATATAAATGTAATCTTTATGAGACGATATTGTCCCAAAAGTTAAAAATTTAAATTTAATTTTTTTTAAAATCCTGTCTTAAAATCTGTGGGTGGGGGGGGTTTCTTATGCAGGCCAGTTAGTTATAGGTCAGCTTGTACACCTAAGTTCAGTCAATCATATATCAACGGTCATCTGTCAATCAAATCTTCTCGGTCATAGCATCTTGGTTCATATGTCGCAGCTAATATACGCAACGGTTGAAATAAGAATCCTTTTCCTTCCCATTGAGTTCCGTCCCAGTGTTAACGGGTATGGACGTCTGTGTCTTCAGCAGGCGTAGAGCTAACAGAACTGGCAGCGTTGCGAGGCAAGGGCTCAAACATGTACGGCTGTAAGCCTTCTACACCAAACCAAGCTTCTGTCACCGTGGCGTCCACTTCCACAACAACTTCCCCCTGTAAATAAAAAATTTAAGACGGAGACTCATCCACGACCTCCGACACAAAACTGTCCTTCTCCTGCATGTTTCTGCTGTCCTTTAGCGTTCCTTGACAGTGTCGTTTCGAAAGGCCAATTTATGCTTCTGACGCATAGCCTCTGCAACTGTCAAATCCGGCCTCTGCATGACCAAGCGCTATGCAACTGTTGCCGCGCACCTTAAAAAAATCCTGACTACGTGTTGGATGGTGGCAAACCCATGCAGACTTTAAGCGGAAGTGCGCAGATAGTAGCTGTGATTGGTCCTTGGTATGCCTTTCCTGCTGTCTGTGTGGTCATCCACGAAGTTCGCTGACTGAAACCTAAATGCTGATTGGATGTTGATGATGCTGTACAAACCTTTACAATTACAACATTACATCTTTTTCCTGTGTTCAAGCTCAATTCAGTTTATTTCTATAGCGCCAATTCACAACATGTCATCTCAAGGCACTTTACAGTTCACCAGATCATCCAGTCAAATTGATTCAGAGTTTTCTAAGGAAAACCAGTTGATTACATCGACTCATTGACTCGTAGGCAATCCCTCACACTAAGCATGCTTGTAGCAACTGTGGAGAGGGAAATTCCCTTTTAACAGCAAGACACCTCTAGCAGAACCAGGCTCATTGTGAGCGGGCCATCTGCTGAGGCCGACTGGAGTTCAAGGAGACAGAAGCAAGGATACAAAAGGCAACTGTTAAAAGAAGGCCCTGCCCAGGAAACACGCAGCCAGGCAGACAAGCTCTGAGCCAGCTCCCATGTCAGAAGATGAAGAGAGCACATCCAGCCAATCACAGTAAGAGAAACAGGACTACACTGGAAAACAGGCTGATCTCCAACATCTATAACAGTGTTGATGGCAGCAGCACAGGTGATACTACTCTCCAGGATGACGTCACAGCCAAACGGGAACAAACAAGGCAAAGCTTCTATGAGAAAAAGCAGAGAGAGCATAATGCTAGAGATTGAACTAACAAATTCTGCAGAGTGGGAGAATAGAGATAGAATGATCAAATAGGAGTCCCTAAGTCCTCCAGCAGTCTAAGCCTATAGCAGCAAAACTATGGAGATAGCTCAGGATAACCTGAGCCACTCTAACTATAAGCCTAAAAAGGAACGTTTTAAGCCTAGCCTTTTAAGGCTAGATAGGGTGTCTGCCTCACAGTCTAAAACTGGTAGATGGTCCCACAGGAGAGGAGCCTGATAACTAAAAGATCTGCCTCCCATTCTATTTTTAGAAATTTTAGGAACCACTAGTAAACCTGCAGATTGAGAGCGAGGTGCTCTGTTAGGAACATAAGGAACAATCAGATCTCTATCAGTTGGAGCTTGGCCATTTAAGGCTTTATATGTGAGGAGGATTTTAAATTCTAGTCTTGATTTAACAGGAAGCCAATGAAGAGAAGCCAGGATAGGCGAGATATGATCTCTCTTTTTAATTTTCATCAGAACTCTGGCTTCAGCATTTTGGATCAGCTGAAGGCTTTTAACTACAGTTTGTGGACTTCCTGATAGTAAAGAATTACAATAGTCCAGCCTTGAAATAACAAATGCATGGACTAGTTTCTCAGCATCAATCCTAGACAGGAGATTTCTAAGTCTGTGTCAAGTACGTGACTTTGTCCTGGTCAGTGTTTTGAGATCTCTTTGAGCCTTTCCAGTAAAGTGCTTAAAAATCTGAATTGTCTTACAGCTTTAGCAAAGTGTTTGCTGCACCTTCCAGAGCAAAATAAGTCAAATACCAAAATTAATTATTGACTTGGGACCAACTGTCCAAAACTTGCAGTCTGCAGCCTCTATGGTTCATTTAGATGGATGCTTTGACTCGGTCTAGTGTTAATGTCTTACAGCCAACCATGTGCTTCCTAAATATATTTCTTGCTAATAAAATGTCTTAAAAATACAGCATCTGTCACATTTAATACAAATGAAATTTTCTCAGTATCCCTGTGCTGACTAGTTTAAAACTAAATTTTTAACATAATAGAATTCAATCATTAACCTTTTGTAAGTCTAATACTTTTGATTAAGTAAAAAAAAAAAAAATATCAGCTGCTAATCAGAACTATAAACCGTTGCTGTTGATCAAGCAAGCTCCTCCCCCTTCAGATTTTCCTGAAAACCTTATTGTAGAGATAATGGGAGCTGAAGAGAACAAGGACATCTCCAGAAGAGGCAACAAAGGAGCCTGAGGTTGTTCTGCCACAGGACTCCTCTGTTTAAACCGTGTCAAGCTGCAGTCTAAGAACAGCAGAAACTTTTCCTTTCAACAATGCAAAGATAAAAGTTTATTGTAGAAAGGCTCCTAAAAAGATCCAATCTCTAAAGTCTGAAATTTAGATCTTTGGAGCTTTCAGATCGACATGGTCTGAAACTAAAACACCTGACCTGCACATGAGATGGTCCACAGTCCTGGTGAAGCCAAGATCAGTTTACTGTACAGACCAAGAGAATCTGCTGCAGTGATCCATGGTTACAATTCCATCTTTCCACCAACAGACGGTGCCACAGTTCAGAACTAATAGTGCAGGGGTAACCAATTAAGAAAATCATCAACCAGTAAAGGTCCGTAGACATTTTGTATTATAATCTGTTACTTTAAATAGAATTTAACACTGAAATAAAAAGCAGGATTTTATGTATCTATGTTATACATTGAATTTTTAAATAAAAATAAAAAAGGACATTTTTTCCATTTTTAAATCTGTTTTTTGAAGTAGAGAACAATCGTTCAGTTTGGTATATAGACAATTTCTTGATTCACATATTTTAAACACCTGAACTGACTGACTTTGTTTTTTTTTTTTTCATTTTTCTGTCTTAATGTTCTCAGTGGGCTTTATGCTGCCCTGCAAGGCTTTAAACCTGGGTTTGAATGGAGACAAAGCCATTCTAATGCACATATCAAGGAGCTCATTTTGAGCCTTGGTCAAAATAAATGTTTTATTCTGTTCATATTGAAGAATCCTGCTTCACAGCAGCAGGTTGAGCCAAACATACTCAAAATGTCCAGGGTTATCTTTGAGCACGCCATTTTACTTTTGTGTCACCTGTTCACCACAGTTCTTCCAGCAGTCCACACTTTCTCTGCTCTCTTTTTCTCATCTTTCCCATCGTCCGGCTTACTACAGGTTTGCCTGCTGTGTCTAAAAGTAGCAGCAGCAGCAGCAACCCAGACTGACAGCAGCTCATTGGCTAGTTTGTATCATGTGTAGCCTGGTCCTGGGCGTGCTGGAAGACTTTACCATATTAACAGGATAAGCGGCACAAGTGAAGTTAGACACTGCTGTTGAACAACATGCAGTAATTAATAAATGCTTTAAATCGAGTAGGATCTGGACCGTGGTGACCTCTGTACTAATGAGTCTAAAGGTTCTCCAGTTTTATGCAATAGTTTTCCGTCCACTTCCTCACAGCTCAGTCATTGCGACTCTTGAACCTCTTTTAAAGGGCCCTTTATTTCACTTTGCTTTGGTTTCCAGACATCACCCTAAAAAATTTTTTTCCTTCCCAGGCTTTGAATTTCAGTTTTATACAAAGTTCCTGAAGTTTTTGTACAGTACTCTAAATGTATGATGTGTCATATGTGTTATTTAAATAAACTTGACCTTTCCAAAGCTAAAAGACAGCAATTTAGGATTTTCCTGGGATGGCCTTAGCCTGAAACTATGCTACTATTCAAAAGGACATCACTGAAGGTGGATGGGTGCGTTCCCTCCAAAGCAAAAGAAATGGTAGAAACAAATGTGCCAATTTATATGGTAGAATTTTCTCTTTAATAATCAAAAGATATACCTTTAAACATTACAATTAAATATAACTTCTAACAAAATATAACATGATCAACCAATGAGGGATTAAACCTGAACTTTAAGGATAGAAATGCAAGAAAGGACTTTATTCCCACCTTGGCTGCTGGGGCACTGAAATGCCTCTTCTGCCTCTGCAGGGTGGAAGAATGCTTAAGTATGTCACTGAAGTTTGGTCCTGGCTTTAGTATGAGCAGCTTATTCAGTTTTTTTTTTTTCTGTTTTTTTCTGTTAATGTAGAGTAGAACCCACATGCACCTAAAAGATTAATTGCTTAAAACGATCCAATCTGCATGTTTCTCTAAATGTTGCTTTTTTAAACAAACTCTTACATCCCTGAAACCACACAACATGAACTGACGTCAGTTTGATGATGTGAAAATTACTTAAAATGATCTGAAGTGACATCTAGAGATCTTTTTCCTCATCCGGGGATCCCTGGTTGGGAGGCTCTGCTGTCCAAGGTGCTGAAACCAGAGCCTGTCAAATATTCAAAGTGTAGTACATAGCTTTATACAAAGAAACCTACCTAAAAATTTGTTGTACTGGTTCTTCTGCCTACAG